ATTATTTGCATGCGTAGAAAGGAAAAGCTATTGATAACAACAAATGTCCTTCATGTGTAGTGAAACTGATTTAATTCAGTTTGTCAGAACATCAATTGTTATCAACAGACGATTATATTATTGGTTACTCTTACCTTTGTCACAGTTGTTTTCGTTTCTGATTTAAGCTTATCGAACCTGTGCACAAAGAGAATGTGCTTGACGATTTGTACAGGAGGATCAGTTGACGAAATCGAAAATATGACTAGTGGTATTCAATCTGTGTATGATGAATACTGGCATTTTCTAATCTAATAAAACATTGTGCTAATAATATATGATTAGTTAGAAATAATGTAATTATACAATAATCTAGTTGAACATGGTGCAGTGACAGTCAGTTTAACTATTACTTAAGTCAGTCAGAAAGCTCTGTCATGTTCAGGGCTGGACGAATTTCCAAAACATATTAAATAATCGCTTATGCTACTATTCTACTATTCTGACGACATAGCATTGCTACAATAGAATGATTACCACGTGTACTTGTTGTTTTACGGGGTACACAGATTTGTTATACACATAATATTCCTCGTTTTAGATGCAATTAAATGACATAGTTCTTTCTGGTAGACAATAAAGCGCATCTTAAGAAGGCTAGTCAAAGTGCTTTTTATTCATTGTAAAACTTTATTGAATATTAAGGTATAAACATTGATCCTATCTTCATGGTTTCAACTAATCTACATCAATTTTTACTGAATTATTGTTACTAATTTCACATTGCTACATGCGATCGTCTTTGGTATGTAGCTACTTTGCGCACTCACTCTCACATTACCACCCCCCTAAACACGCACAAAAAGAAGAGCAGGCTTCGCTGTATACTCGCTGATGTTTTCCGCCAAATCGAATTCTTCAGGAAAAGAGAAGATTCCCTTGGCTATGACGGTTTTGCTCTAACAACTTTTCACTACAGGTTATCTGCTCCTACAGCGCGAAAATTCCGCTTACTATCTAACAAATACTATAATACTAGAAGATACTAAAGCAGGGACCAAACCAGCCCTACTAACATAGCGAAATTCTAAAGCAATCCAGTAGCATAGTGCTTTCTGATAAAGAAAATAAATACTCTTTCCAGAATGTAGGACTTTGAAAAGGTCTTAAGAGTTTGGTGACGAGAGATCGTATGGTTTCGAAGTCGCGACATTTAGGAGAAAACGGCTCTCTGTTTACCGTGCACAATTTGCAAGATGGTATAAAAACAGAGCTTTATGTGTAGTGTTCATAAACATCCGCTGTAATCACAGGATTGCAGACGAATTATGGCCTATTACAATATTAAAGGATACTAAAGGACGGGATTAAATAATTCCATTAGTATGACGAGATTCTTAAATGACGTCTGTCACGGCATTTAGACCTTCTTCAGCATCCACATAAACTTATAATAAAGCACTCAAACATCGTTCCAAGATCTTGGTTTCTGATTTCAAAAGCCTAGGAAGCTCCGAGGAATAATTAAAAACGCAAAAGGAAAAGTGACGTAGTCTCAACTATTTTCAGTAAACATTTCAACCCAAGTATGAACTTTTAGGTCCAGACCATGGTTTAAATCATTAGAGTCACAGCTTATTACCCCGCTATGATATTCAACTTCTCTATGAAATATTTCACTGTTCTAGTATTCTGGTCTGTCAACTTCGATTGTGCTATACAGCATTAATGCATACGTAATGCAGCATTAATACAAGTCAAAATGTCGTTGTATTCTACTTAGTATCGGACAATTATAAGCGCCTAACAGAATACTAGAACAAACTGAAAATTTCTATATAGAGAAAATTCGACTAGCTGTGTGTTTTTTCATAGTGTAGTAAACCATGGGAAATCGCACCAATTTCGGTCCAAAAAGTGCAATAGGCGATACTATTACTGAAAATATACAATAATAAATGAAATAGAAATAATTACAATATCTAATAAGAAGAAGTCCTTTGCTTGTAATAACAATAATTTAACACAAAAATGATGCGATGTTAGGAACATCAATAAAAATATTTCGTGTCTATTAACTCTTGTGATTTCAGTACCTAAAAGCCGATTGAATAGATGCATATTTCAGTTGTATTCACTCTTGTTTAAATGATAATGATGTTTCCAAATCATTTATGAATTCTTCCGTTTGTATTAAAAGCTTTCTCATATGAGGATATGAACGCAAATGTAGACCATCTTTTTCCTCTTTTTGATATAATTCAATGTCATTTGGTTTCATTGTTCCCCATTTGGCTACAACAGTAAAAATAAAAAAGTCAATCCAACATAGTTGAAAATTTTTCCAAAATTTTTCCCATGAATGTTGTTCAGCTGATATTCCATTTTCTAATAATGTTCGATAATAATAATGTAAAAGTTCTAATGAATTTTGTATGCTATTTTCATGAATAGATGTTGCTATAAAATGTGCTACGTCTAAAGCTACATTGCCTATTCCAAACCATTGCCAATCAATGGCATATACATGTTCCGTTGTAGTAGATTCAGCATAGAAATCATGGTTATTATGATTAATAAAAATGTTTGTAATTTTAAAGTCACCATGAATAAGCGTGCGTGGTTCTAATAAACTCATAATCAATGCAATATCATCTAGCCTATGTTCTAGTCTAACACCCAAACTTTTTGATGATTCTGAAATTTGAAGATCTTCGTGAAAATACTGAAACACATGATCCCATGCTTTTCTAATCTCTTTTTTGTTGGCCTTTTTTCATAAACAAAATACAACATTGAATGGAATTCGAAGCAAGTATTTATTATACACATACTTCTCGTTTCTTTCCTGTCCAATATCCACCTATATCCCAAAATTTAGCGTTGGTTTTTGGTGTTGGATGATCCCAGTGTGTAGCATGGAATTCAGCCAAGTATTTCAAACAGATCATTGAGTCTTTCATTGAAAACCCCAGTGGTTGTCCATTTTCACAATGAGAAATATCTTCCATAACCATAACAAAATGATGATGGAATGGGTTTTCATAACTAAATAGAATTTGAGGTAGCCTAAGACCTTGGATGTCAGTCGAGTATATTTTATAGAATCTTGTTTCTACTTCATAAGAATTAAGATAAATCGCTTCTCGATCAGCAACATTCAATGTTTTTTTAATACAAAGAATAATTTTCTGCACAATTGTTTTATTCCATTTAAGAGTTTTCAAAACGACAGAGGTTGGTAGTTTACTATTGGGCTCTGAATAAATTAAAGACAGTTTTAATACGTTAAAATGGCAGCCACCTTTTAACATTTCAGAATTGAATGAAATTACTTCATTGGTATTAGAAATGCGAAGTGACTGACGAAGAATTTGTGTGAGCCATTGAGTTTTAGAATCTTCTTCCGTTAAGACTGGAATATTATCCATTATTCTCTGGATGAAACAGACTGAAAGAATAAAATAAACAAACAGAAAACACAAGCCACTAACAACAAAACGTTTTCAAAGCTAAGTGGAAACGTAAAATGTTATAGCAAGCAATTAATAAGTAATTACATGGATTAAGCGAAGAAGAAGATAAAGCTTTTAAAGTAATGACGATTCCTTTAGATAACAGTGTTTCAAACACTATTTGTTAGACTGAAATGAGCATGGAGATCTCAAAAAGCAAAGATTCATGGGAGCATGAACAATGAATCTACCGTTTATGTTCTCATTTCTTTGCTTACCATGAAAATAAAAAAGTAACAAAGTATTACAGAATACGACGGAAAAGCTTGAACCACTATAATAGGATTCTACTATCTTATCATCATACTATTTCGGCAGAAAATTTTCACACGGATTCCTTTATCACACATATACGTTGATAAGCTACTGACGTATACCAACTTTGCCATTGTCTCATATCTGTTTTCTTGTCTTTGTATCCATACAATAGAAAAGAGAGAAAATAAAGATATAGAAACGAAACAAAAAATCCAGTTACTATGCTTTTTATTCAATGAAAAAGGTTTAATGGAGTCACCCATAATCGGTTATTGCTTTTCACATGAGAAATTTTTGTCGCTAAATTTTGAACAATTTTTAATTTTATGTAAGAAAGCAAATATAAAAACACTTGAGATTAATGATGAATATTTAAACACAGTCAGTCAACAACAACAACAACACCAATTGTCAT